CTGAGGCAAGGGGGGAGACAGCTGACGTGTCTGGGGTACTAGTGTTGGGGGAGGCGCCAGCAAGCGCGCCCCTAGCAGCTCGGCCCCCAGAGTCAGCAGATTTCCCCATAGGCCCAACCGAGGGGAACGGAGTGGCGTGAGAGACACCAGACATGGTCACGCAGGGTGGGAGGGGTGCGGCAGGTGGGGCAGGGACAAGGAAGAGAGGAGGAGGATGCACAGGAGTGTTGTGGTGAGGGAAACACTTGTAGTAGGGGAGCATCTTGTCAAAGGTAACATCACGAGAGCAGTAGAAGTGGTGGTGGACTGGGTCGTAAAACAGCTAGTCAGGGGCTTCAAACGGAAACCCCTAGGAAGACACACGAACGAGTGCGGGATGAGAGCTTGTCCGCCCCAGTGGCACGGACATAAGCAAGGCTACCCCAGACGTGCAATGCAGCAGCGACACCAGGAGAACTAGTCCAGAGACAGGTCGGCAAAACCTGTGGTCACTTGGAGCGCGGCCACAGGTTAAGCTAGTGAGCAACGTAGCGCACGACGAACGGCCACAAAAAATGGGGTGCACTGGCATGGACCAAAGAGGTGTGAGCTACCTCCATGACCAGGCCGATGCATCACTCAACGACCTCATTCTAATGTGGGGAATCCGGCAGGGTGTACGTCTGGCGAATGCCCTCCGCATGGCAGAACTGTCCTAGAGTACCCGAGGCGAACTCTCCACCACGGTCAAAGTGCAACTGAACTACGGGCTGGCGGTGCTGAGTGCGAACAGTAAGCAGCCACGGTAGGAGAACGGAAGGCACGTCGGCCTTCCGCTCCAACAGGAACACCATGGTGAAACGTGAGAAATCGTAAACAACGACTAGGAGGTATCGCTCCCGACTAAGACCGTGGACGGGGTCAGGGCCCCAGACGTCCATGTGCAGTATCTATAGTGGTGCTATGGTAGAAGGAAACGAGGAGGAGTGAGGGGCGACGCGCTGCAGGCCCTCGATGCAAGAGGTGCACAGTAGCGCTACCGACGCAGGCGGGGTTGGGAGTGACGCATGAAGTATAGCAACTAGACCGTGCTGGGACATGTGCCTAAGACGCGTGAGTGCAGGGTGACCTAAGCGGTGGTGCCACAGAAGGGTTGGGTGGGTGAGGGAGAGACAGGAGCACGATGCGGCTACCTCAGCTAACGCAGCAAGTGGCGGTAACTCAGTGTGCAGGGTGAAGAGACCGGATGCTGCGTCATGCCCAATTGTGGCTAGGTGGTGACCAGTGGTTGTGTCCGTGCAAGCTGCGTGTCTCTCGTGGCCAGGAAACGTAGTGGTGATGCCTCAGTCTTGGAGGTGACCGACACCCACTAGGTTCCTGAAAAATGAGGGGATGTGCTGACCGGTGAGGGAAGCGGAGGGGACAGCTGGACAGGGGAGAGTGATGGTACTGCAGGCGACAACGACGTGCTTGTGCTTGTACTCGATGAAGACGATGATGACCGTGCAGAGAATCCTGCAGAGCCACCGCACATCATCAGCACGCGCAAGCCACCTGATGTCGTAGAGTTGTGTCATGGATGACGAGCTGTAGAGACTTGAACCTTTCATACCATGGCGTTGAGCGACTGATGATCTACCTGAAAGCATGGATGATCGCGTCGACGATGAACAGGTCGGAGAAGGAGTTGGAGTTGGAGGCGTCTTTGACTGCTAGCGCTTCTTTGGATGGCACCATGGCACCAGAATTCAAGTTAGAAAAATGCAAGGTTACTCAAAGACAAGTAGACGGGGGGGTTCTTAAATGACAGTTGTACTGATGTGCGATGCAATGACATGTGACAAGTTGCGGGAGACGCAGGCGGAGACGCGCGTCAAGCCCATTATGCTCGCTCGTCATTACCAACGCCTTGTTGGTGCTTATACCGGTGATCTTCTGAAGCTCGATGTCGCTCCCCTTCAGGTGTTCCAGTAGAACAAACTGGAACGATGCGGCATCACACTTATTGATGATGAGCAGGCTCCGAAACTCAGTCACGACACACCGCTTCTTCAGGAAGGTGCCGAAAACTATGAGATGCTTACCGCAACTGCGGTCAGTACTCTCGTCGCATCTGATACCGATGAATGGGGAGGAGTTGATGTGCTCCATCCCTTGTGCCTTCAAGAAAGTCACCATGGCTTTCACCATCTCCCTGAATCCATACCTGTGACAAACACAAGATTCTATTAGAATCATGTTCTTAATAGTGAAGGTTAAACAAAAAATAAACACGAAAAGATGCGCACTTTGTTCGTGATATAGGCGCCATACGTTTGCGTGGGTATATCCTTCACTCCCTCCTGCGCCAAGTGACCGATTAGACGTGTGAACATCGAAGTTAGGGCATCTTCTTTACAGATAAAGAGCATGGAGTGAAGAAGTCTGATGATGCAGGCGACATCAGGGTTGTTCTTGGCGAAGTCGTCCATGCGCTTCTGGTTTTCGATCTCCTTCTCAAGGTGAGCTTGCTTCTGCACAAAAGGCCTCATGCTTGGTGCTCTCCTCGTGCCACCATATGCTGCCAATATGCAGGTCCCTACCGCCAGGCCCATCGCAACTGTAGTGGGCTGTCGGCTTACCACCAGATTCGCGTAGCCGTAGCTGACTGTCACATGTCCCATTTCATACTAGGTAAGGGATTTTCAAATATGTAGTTATGCCCTTGGGACTCACAAACGCCCTGGCGACTTTCCAAATGACCATGAACCAGATTTTTAGTTCGCTCATAGATAAGAGTTTGTTTATCTAGACACCATCCTAATTTATAGCAAGACTCGGGAGCAGCACTTAAAGGATCTCGAGTCAGTTTTCACACTACTACAGAATCATCGGCTGCTCACAAAGGGGTCTACGTGCGAGTTTTTAAAAGATAGATTGGAATCTTTAGGTCACGTCATTTCCACTAAGGGCGTCAAAGTAGACCCGTGGAAGATCGAGACGCAGCAAACCTGGCTACCGCCTACAAACCTACAGAAGCTGCAAAGTTTCCTAGGGTTCGTCAATTACATTCGGTGATTTATCCCGAATATGGTGGGGGTAACTGCACCGCCAACCAACCTCCTGCAGAAAGAGACTGAGTATAGGTGGGGGGAGAAAGAGCAAGCTGCCTTCTCCACGCTCAAAACTTTTCTGTGCTCAGCCCCAGTCCTTCGCATCACCAATCCTCACCATCCATTCGAAGTCATCACTGACGCCAGCGACATCGCCATCAGAGGAGCACTATTACAGGACTTCGGTGAAGGGCTGCAGCCAACCGCGCACGAGTCACGAAAGTTACACCCGCCTGTGTAAAACTATCTGATACACGACAAGGAGATGCTCACGATCGTGCACACCTTCAAAGTGTGGCAGTGCTACCTGACAGGCGCAGACGTGATAGTACGGACAGATCATCGGAGCCTACAGTACATTCGTGCACCTCCACTGCTCAACCCGCGACAGATTCGGTGGTTGGATTTCGGGAATCCAATTTCCACTATACTGTCACCAACAAAAAAAAGGGGCATTGAATATTGCAGACCCCCTTTCTCGCCCATCCACCCATCTCAAATCCATTATCCTTGTCCAGATTTCCTCGTTACTTATCGGTCTATTTACCCACAGGTGCCAGACGGACAGATTCTTTACAATGGGTGCGTATGAACAGCTCGCAACGACTAAGATATTCTATTATGTAAATACAGGAACTGATCGCATCTGTGTGATGAAAATCGTGCAAATCTGGAGAGAATTAATTAGAGATTAAGTCCGACGACCTCAACGGAACATTGCGTGCAGCTCAGGTAACTTCTAGAAATGAGTTTATACGCGTTGGAAAGGTCTTAATCTCTAATTTCCAGAATGGTAAAGCACGTTCATAACCAAGATCTGAGCCGCCGATTATGACGAAATCTGTGTGAGGGGATCTACTGGTAATTTGGCTAGGCAGCCATGAATGACCTAGTCAAAACGAGAGGGCAGCAGTTAGACCTGGAAAAGTTCGAGTATGTGATTGTCAAACACCACCAACCCTCGCCCTAGACCAAACCCCAACACTCCCAAGTGCCACAACTGCAACATGAAAGATGTTGTAGTGGGTTTGAGGTTGTATGGGTTGGATAGGTAACGAGATCAAAGCATGCCAACTGTCTAAGTTCTTTTGCCCAAATCCCAATAGCCCACAACCAGCTAGAGCAAACTACACCACAGAACACTACACATTTATTACTGTGTACCAGAGTAGAGTCCATTATGGGAGCTATTACTACAGGAAGCCCATGACTGTACAGTTTTAGGGCACTTCGGGGTGGAGAAAACACGACAACATTTGACCATATATTATTTCCGGCCGGACATGCAAGGGGAAGTGCAGCGGCACGTGGTTTCATGCAGGACCTGCCAAACCAGGAAGGCATCGAGGAGAAGTCGGCTGGATGGTTGCGCCCGATTCCGCCACCTGAGTGTGCGTGGCAGCAGGTAACGATGGATTTTGTCATGGGACTGCCTGCCAAGGACGGTTGTAATGACGCGATATTTGTCCTCGTTCATAAGCTGACGAAGATGGCTCACTTTGCCGCCTGCAAAAAAAGCATCTCAACCAAAAAAACAACCCGCCTTTTCACTTCAACCATCGTTCACCTCCAAAGAATTCAATCCGACATCATTTTCGACAATGATACGAAATTCACCAGCTCGTGCAACCTTTGGGACCAGTTTGGCACGTGCCTATAGTTCTCCTCTGCCTATCATCCCGAAACTGACGGATATACCAAGCGAGCCAGTCAAACGATGAAACAGCTGATTTGCGCCACCTGCGATGACGTGGTCGACGGGGAGCAGCAATCGCCACTGATTGAGTTCGCGTATAACAACGCCCCCTCATCCACTACCCGACAGTCACCGTTCTACCTGAATTACGGACAAAACCCTACAGTACCCATCACGCCAAACGTCGACAATGTTAGGATTAAGGACGGAGTCTAGGTGAACTTAGGAGCTAGAATTACTCAAAATATAAATCCGAAATTCTGGACAGAAAAGTCGTCTTCACAAGAAACGACGTCGACGAAAAACTAGCCGTTGGAATATCGCGAAACTTGGATATGTTGGAGCTCTTAATCTCAGCTACCGTTCCCAATTTGAATCATGTTAATTGATGAAGTATTCGCGACGCTATGGCTTTCGACGCACTAGGGGGTAAGCTGTAGGAGGAGAACTTAACTCAATCTCAAGAGTTCAATCAAAGTTCAAGGATCTCACAAGGAATTAGAAGGAGCAAGAGAAAGGTTGGGATAGGAAGAGAGGGATGAGAGGGAAGGTCCCAAGAGAGTCCCCAACCAAGGAAACCCCATAAGCACAAAGATTCCCTCCCTATAGGAACCTCAACTTTGACCTTTGTCCCTTCCCAACCAATCCATCCAAGTTGGCCACCCTTGCCAACCTAGCTTGGTTGTTCCCAACCTATTTGCAGCTGTTACAGTAGAGTGACAAGTTTCCCCAACCCCAAAGGTCCCAACTCCATATAAAGTCACCCCACAACTTCACTTAGTAACCGCCGCAATTGTAACGCAAGCTCATGAACTTTGAATCTTCATAGCTTTCGCGTTGTTGCTCCAATTGAAGAGATTCTTGTTGCGTCGAAAAGATCTTCTCAAGATCTATCATCACAAATACCTGCTCAAACAAAATAACACATAACACATTCCCAAACTCCAGAACACACACCACACAAATGCTTGCACATTCAAACCACACATGCAAGTTGAAAACATGGGATGGGAGGCAGACAGAATGTGATAGCATATGATGACATCACACAACAATCTCCCCCTCTGGCTGCCAACCATCATCCACCATACCACATCTCAAGCATGCATACTCAATGCACACTCATCCCAGCAAGCTTCATGCCCTTCCAATGATCCGCCTCCGCCAGACGCTTGGTGAAAATATCTGCTGCCTGCTGATGGGTCTTCACTATCTCCAGCCGCACCTCCTTATCAAGGAGTCTCCTCACCCAATGCCACTTAGGCCTTATGTGTTTTGTCAGCCCATGCAGACAAGCATTCTTGGCGAGCTTCACAGCGGACTCATTGTCACAATGTCCATCTGCCGTATCTTCCATCCCAGGAGTGCAGCTATCGCTAACAGCACCCTCAGTGTTGTTCCTTTCCCCACAGGAGCAAACACCTCATCATAGTCCTTCCCCTTTGTCTGCTGAAACCCCCGTGCCACAAGCCTAGACTTGTAGCGGGTCAGCTCCCCTTCAGGTCCATACTTGTGCCTGTAGATCATCTTGGAAGTGATTGCCTTCTTTCCAGGAGGCAAGTCACACAGGTCCCATGTCTCGTTTTCAATCAGGGACCCGAACTCCTCATCCTCACTCGCCTTCCACTTCTCCCCATTTGGTCCATTCAAGGCCTCCTCTCGAGTCTTGGGCTCAGGGATTGGTGCCCAGTAGCAGTGAGCGATCTCATCTTCCTCAATCTGCTCAACCACACTCCCAGCCTGCACCACATTTGGCTTGCCTCTTCCCCCATAGGTCAGCCTCACCGGAGGGCGCACATCCCTCCTAGGTCGCTCAGGCGGGTGTGGAACTCGAGATGGAGACTCATGCTGCTGCTGCTGCTGCTGCTCTACTTCAGCTGCTCCCCCTTCCTCAGTCACCCCAGACATCTCCTCCTCTGACACTGCAACCTCCACCTGTCTTGAAGGCTGCTGCACCTCATCTGCCTCCACAATGAGCGGTGTAGATGGAAGCTTCTGTTGCTGCTGCTTCCATTCCTTGTAGTACAGGGACTCAAGAAACTTCACATCCCTTGACAGTGTCAACTTCTGGGTGGTCAAGTCCCATAGCAGCCACCCCTTGTGATCCTTTGCAATCCCCAAGTGCACACCCCATCTTCCAGAAGCCTCCAACTTCCCCCTTTTCTCCTTAGGCACATGAAACACCACCATGCACCCAAATGCCCTCAGCATGTTCACAGTTGGAGCACTCCCATACCACTTGACATATGGGATCCACTCCTTATCTCCAACTGTAGCCAGCACCCTGTTCTTCACAAGGGCGACCTGCCTCAGTGCAGACACCCAAAACGGATCAGGCAGCCCTGCACGCCCAAGGAGAGTGCGTGCCCCCTCCTGCAGGGTCCTGTTGAACCTCTCAGCCACGCCATTCTGCTGCGGGTTGTAGGGCACTGTCAGTTGATGCTGGATCCCCTTCCTCTTCAACTCCCCCTCAAAATCAGCTCCAATGAACTCCCCACCATTGTCACTGCGGATCACCTTCACCTTGTATCCGCATTCCCTCTGAGCTCTAGGCATCCACTCCTTAAGGACAGCCGCTGCCACCTCCCCCTTGCTCTTCAAAGGGTAAACCCACACTGCCCGAGTGTGGTCATCCACAATTGTCAAGAAATAGCGGCTGCCTGAGAGGGAAGGGGCTCTTGTGGGCCCCACCACATCCATGTGCACAAGTGCAAGTGGGGTCTTGGCTGGTCCTGTAGTGCTGTTGAAGGGGAACTTGGAGAACTTGGTCTCCAAGCATGTAGGGCAGCTCCCAATCTCCTTCACTCCCCCTTTCACCTCCAAGCCCTTCAGGCTCCCATCCTTCACCAACTTCTGCAGCATAGGGAAGTTCACATGACACAGCCTCTCATGCCATGTCTCCCAATCGGCCTCTCCACTCCTTGATGAAGCCTTAGCCCATGCCGCACTCGCATCCACACCAGCAAGCACCTCACCATGTGTCTGCTGCTGCTGCACTTTCTTGACTGCTTCCAGGACCCCATCAGTTGGTGCAGTTGCATCTCCTCCTGCTGTTGCCTTTGCCGCTGCTGCCGTTGCTGCTGTTGGAGTCTTCCCATTCCATGGGATGATGGGCAGCTGCCACAGGTCCTTGATGCAGCTGGTCTCCTCTTCCAGACTCCACAGCACCTTCTTCCCAAGCTTAGCACGGCAGCTGGTTGGTCCAAAGGTCACTTCGGCCTTGCTCTTCTGCAGTCGTCGCACAGAGAGAAGGTTAGCAGACAAGCCTTCAACCAGCAGAACATTCCCAAGCCCCACAAGCTCCCCATTAGCTCCCTTAACCTTGGCATTTCCAACACCAATGACAGGGAGCAAAGCACCTGACGCTGCTGCCACATACTTGATCTTCCCAGGGGGTTTTACCTCATCAAGCAAATCTGCCCGTGGGGTCATGTGACTGGTGCAACCTGAATCAATCACCCAGTGCGTGAGAGGGTGCATCACAACCTTTCCCACAGATCCCACATCACCCTCATGCCCATGCACATCCTCAACCATGAGATACATCCCAGGATAGGCGTTACCTTGTGCACCTTCACCTTGTGCACCTGAGCCTTGCACAGCGCCACCTTGTGCGCGTTCACCACTTGGCGGCTTCATGCCTGGAGGTGACCATCCCTCCAGCCTGCTGAAGCACTTGAACCAAGGATGCCCGACCTTCTTGCAGTACCAGCAGGTGCCCTCCATTCTGGTACTCCCCCTGCCACTGGAGCTCCCATGCCCCTCATTATAGTCACCTCGGCCTCTACCTCTGCCAAAGCTTCTCCCACGGCCTCGGCCTTTCCAACCCCCTCTTCCTCTGCCGCGCCCTGCAGCTCCATACCCCTCAGCAGTCTTAGTGGCAGCACCGCCTCCCACATGGCGTCTGCGGAAGTCCTCCTGCAGAATCTGCTGCCTTAGCCACTCAGGTGTCCATTGATCTTGCTGAGAGTTGAGGGTGGGGATGAGGTTATCCCACGAGTTGTCCAACACCGAGATGATCTTGGTGCACTGCTGCAGCTGAGATACACTGCTGCCCGCTGCTGCCATCCTTGCATAGGTGTCCTTGATCTTGTCAAGGACCGGCTTCACATCGTCCCCTGGTCGCATGGAGATGGCAGCAAGTTCCTTCTCGAGCACGATCACCATCGGGAGAGTGTTGGGCTGAATCACATCGCGTAGTAGTTTCCACGCCCTTGGACCCGAATCATCCGCTTCCACAAGATCCTTGATGTGCTCGAACATCTCCTTGTTGACCGATTGAAGGATGAGGTCGAAAAGCACCGCGCTTTTCTCAATCCACCGTTCGCGTGCTTCGCCTTCTTCCGGCATCTTCTCTTCCCCAACAGCAATCTTCAGTAGCTTGTAGCGTTTGAAGGCACTCCTCATCCGTCCGCTCCATTCCTCATAGTTGGAGCCATCCAAAGCTTCAACTTTTGATGGCGGCGGCTCACTTGTCTTCTCAGCTACAGCTCCTCTTCCATTAGCATCTCCTCCTCTCTCATTCATCTTCTCCTTGAGAAATGACGAATTTCAGCCCCCCTTTGCTGTCCACACTCAGCTCCCTCGATATTTTCACAAGTGTCGGCGTCCACGAAATTTCGGCAGAGTTTCCCTTAGCGGAAGACACATCCAACCTTTAGAACACCACTTAGGCACACCCACAGGCCATGGTGGGTCTAGAAGGGTCTTCACACTTCTGTAGACTCCTCTCAACGTCCTTAATACAGCTCTGATACCACTTGTTAGGATTAAGGACGGAGTCTAGGTGAACTTAGGAGCTAGAATTACTCAAAATATAAATCCGAAATTCTGGACAGAAAAGTCGTCTTCACAAGAAACGACGTCGACGAAAAACTAGCCGTTGGAATATCGCGAAACTTGGATATGTTGGAGCTCTTAATCTCAGCTACCGTTCCCAATTTGAATCATGTTAATTGATGAAGTATTCGCGACGCTATGGCTTTCGACGCACTAGGGGGTAAGCTGTAGGAGGAGAACTTAACTCAATCTCAAGAGTTCAATCAAAGTTCAAGGATCTCACAAGGAATTAGAAGGAGCAAGAGAAAGGTTGGGATAGGAAGAGAGGGATGAGAGGGAAGGTCCCAAGAGAGTCCCCAACCAAGGAAACCCCATAAGCACAAAGATTCCCTCCCTATAGGAACCTCAACTTTGACCTTTGTCCCTTCCCAACCAATCCATCCAAGTTGGCCACCCTTGCCAACCTAGCTTGGTTGTTCCCAACCTATTTGCAGCTGTTACAGTAGAGTGACAAGTTTCCCCAACCCCAAAGGTCCCAACTCCATATAAAGTCACCCCACAACTTCACTTAGTAACCGCCGCAATTGTAACGCAAGCTCATGAACTTTGAATCTTCATAGCTTTCGCGTTGTTGCTCCAATTGAAGAGATTCTTGTTGCGTCGAAAAGATCTTCTCAAGATCTATCATCACAAATACCTGCTCAAACAAAATAACACATAACACATTCCCAAACTCCAGAACACACACCACACAAATGCTTGCACATTCAAACCACACATGCAAGTTGAAAACATGGGATGGGAGGCAGACAGAATGTGATAGCATATGATGACATCACACAACAGACAATCTTGTACTCCGGGCCCAACAGTTTGCCGGAATTTTACAGAACGATCGGGAGCGAGCAGCAAAAGCCATTAAGCCCGCGAATGTTATTTCTAAACGTAATGCCAATCTACGCTGACGAGCAGTGACTTACCAGGTGGAAGACTTAGTACTGCTCGATAGACAGAACCTTCGACTGCCCAAAACTTCGCCCTCGCTACTGTGGACCATTTACAATCAGCAACATGATATCCTCTATAGCCCTTCTACTGCTACCAGCCACCTGGAACGTCAGCCCATCATTTCACGTGCGGCTGTTACGACCATACATTGCCAGCATCTGTAAGTTACGATGTCATCGAGCCAACACGAACATCCGACCACTCACCGAACCTACTATCGAACCTGCGAAGATTCTCAGCCACTGGAGCAAGGACCCTCGAGGGGCTCACCTGATCGGGTTTTCTGATATCCTTGAAGGACCGGACGCCCCTGGAAAATAATTGGGTGCCTCTGGCACAGATCGAGAATCACCCTGTGTTACGAGTCTAACACCAGTGATGCAACATGCGTGACGTCGGCGGTCTCAGCTAAGACCATACAGTGACGGAAAGTATTGTCCGCATGTTTGTGCCTTCGACGAGTTTTGGAATATTAAGGGGTCATGCACAGTAAGCCTTAATCTTTTGGTGTGCCCACTGTATGTAGGTCGAGGTAAGGCTCTAGGCACATGCCATACATCTCACGAAGATACCGATGTTTACAGCAAATAGCAGAAATGAACAATCATGGTACATCCGGACAATTAGTGCCAAGCGCAAGCAGCAAGTTTCGACAACCCCAAACTAGTACCTAGTCCACCACCCTTTCGCCTTAATCACCACCCTCACCCTCCTAGGCATGCTTTCCACCAAGTGGGTGCACACATCCGTCGGGATCTTCTCCCATTCCTCCTAGACACGCTCCCAAAGGTCCAGCATACCAGTGGGAGGCCTCTCATGCTTGCCGAGGTCCCTCTTGAGATGAGCCCATAGATGCTCCATTGGGTTGAGTTCGGGTGATGATGATGGCCAATCATGCACATTACGCGACTTGTGATTGGGGTCTTTGTCGTGCTGGAAGATAACTTTCCAAGGTGAAAGCTGGTAAATGTCGATCGTACTATTGAGCTCGTCCTGTAGTATACTCAGATAGAGCAGTCCGTCCATCTTACCATCTACTTTTCACATGAGACCCGCTCCCTCATACAACATGCAGCCCCAAACCATCAAGCAGCCGCCCCCGTGTTTGACGGTCTGCTTGATTTGGTGGCTTTAGAGGGCAGTACCTTCATGAACCCATGCATATTTGCATCCGTTGGAAGCACAACGATTGATCTTGGTCTCATCCGACCAGATCACTCGCTTCCAGTCGTCAACCGTCCAGTCGGCGTGGGCACGGGCCTATTCTAGCCCATCGCATACAGTATCTTGTGGGTCATAGCTGCGCGAGTCCACCGCGGCCTCCCTGTATTGCGCCTTCACTCCGACCGTGGCGACGAGTTCACCTCTGGTCGGCTTGGCCAGTTCCGTCGTGCAGAGGGCATCACCCAGTGGTACACCCTGCCGGACTCCCTGCAGTTGAATGGGGTCACTGAGTGACACGTCAGTTTGGTCTTGGAGGTGACTCGTACCTCCATGATCCATGCCGGTGCACCTCATTTTCTGTGGCCGT